GAATTTTGAAGTAATGATAAATAATGATGATAAACCTGAGTTGATAACACAAGATGATACAGAAGATGATACAGAAGAATTAGATGAAATAATGGTTGAAAAAAATGATATTGCTATCGAAGAACATGACGATATGTTAATTGATGGTAATATGACGTATAACAAATTGATGACTAATGGAATTATTTCTGATTTGGATGGCCAAAAAGGAAAATGTGTAGAGAAAGCTCCTGCCATTGATCAAAAGCAAAGAAAACACAATTATCATGTTAGTTGGGGTGAAAACGTGACGTTATTGGTTTAACAAAAAATAAAATTTTTTGTCATATGTATTTAGAAATATTCTTATCTTGGCTTTTACAAATTAATTGTTATCTACCATTCTAATCGCTTTAATATAATTGATTCCCGAAATACGAATGTTCTAAAAAAATTAAAATTGAAAAGGATTTTACATTTAAGTATTTTTAGAAGAGTAGATTGATTTGACTATTTCTTTATATGGATGATGAATAAAGTTACTATAGTTCCTAAATTGGTCTTTATTTCTGATTTTTTAAATTAACCCGAGTATACGTATGTACGTACGTACGTAAAAGCCAGTAATTGGGATCTGTTGCGTAACTACGTAGATCTTTAATATGCAACTTTTCAAATGCCAGATGCAAAAGGCTTATGTGATTGGTTTAAACCGCCGAACTAAAAGTTGACTAGCGACTTTATAGAACATGTTCACCATGGGCAGTTTTTTCAAAAAGAATCCAAATGTATAAAAAATTTTAGCGATTTGGCAATTGAATATAGAGATAAGTTATGGTACAAGTTTTAGTCATGAGATCATGATTTGTAAAATTTCGCTTCGTCTGAATTTATTTAATTCAGTAAAAACAAGATAGGGAAGGGATTAAAATTAAGTTGACAGGTAGGGTTTTCTCGGACAAATAATTTAAATAATTTAGGATAGCTTCTAAAATAAAGCTATATAAGCTATGTATCCGAAATAGAGAATTCTTTATTGGCACAGCAATGTTCGATATAATCACTATATACTATTAAAATTAAAGTGAATAAAATTAAATCCTTACCATTTAATTTCAAACCTTAAATCGGTTTAAGCGAAATAATCTCTGCATAGGCGATCAGTAATTATTTTTTTTTTACAACAGTTATTAAAATGGTCTCTATTTAAGATTTGAAATGAAATAATTAACCGAGGCTATGGGGAGCGACGAATCAGAGAACAATTTTTCGGTTATCATTGGCCACTGCTTAAGATTCTGTATTACTCACTATCCTTACCAACTGTTTCTTGAATAAGATCCGGGAATATAACTACGCATATTGATTTACTAATTTTAATATAATATATCCCCCAAATACAATACCTGGTTTTTCACACAGTACCC